TTCAACAGTCTGTCGCCGATTGAGAAGTCGCACGTCATCAACGCTTTCGCGTTCGAGCTGGACCACTGCGAAGATCCCATCGTCTACGAGCGCATGTCGCAGCGCCTTGCCGACATCGACCTTGGCCTGGCGCAGGCTGTTGCCGACATGGTTGGCGGCAAGGCCCCCGAGCAGGCCGGCAAGCAGAACCACGGCAAGAAAGCCAAGGGTCTCAGCCAGCTGGAGTTCCTGCCCGAGAACCCCACCATCAAGACCCGTCGTGTTGCCATCATCATCGCCGATGGCTACGACCCGCTTGCCTTCTCAACCATGAAGTCTGCGGTAGCCGCTGCGCAGGGTGTCCCCATGGTCATCGGCGCCCGACGCTCTGAGATCTATCCTGCCGGTGCCTCCAAGACGCCTGGCCAGGGTGTCAAGCCCGACCACCACCTTGAAGGTTTCAGATCTACCATGGTCGATGCTATTTTCGTCCCTGGCGGAGAAGACTCGATCAAGACTTTGTCCAAGAACGGCCGCGCTCAACACTGGATTCGCGAGGCCTTTGGTCACCTAAAGGCCATCGCGGCCACGGGCGAGGCTGTTGACTTTGTCAACGCCACCATCAATGTTCCCAGCATTGCTGTCTCGAGCAACAGCAACGTCGAGGAAAGCTATGGCGTCGTTACCATGAAGAACATCCAACCTGAGAGCTTCAAAGATGTGTTCACCATTGCCAAGAACAGCCAGGGATTCCTCGAGCAGTTCTTTTTCGTCATCTCTCAGCATCGTGTATGGGCTCGCGAGTTGGATGAGTTGAGCACCCAGGTGGCATATTAGTGAAGGAAGCAATGAGATCAGGCGTTCACTGGGGTAGGGTTTAGCGTATGTACTCGATATTTAATTGGCCTTGATATGAAATGTGTGTTCTGGTAGCCATTTGTGAGCTCTGTAGCAGGTGTATCAGCATAAGCACCGACACTTGATGTCCATGAAGTAGCTCTTCAAGAGACTTTGCGACCCAGCCCATCCTCCTCTCTTTACGTAAATCATGGGATGTCACGTCTTATAACGTCTACGCCCTAGGGTAAGTAGCCTCACCGGATCATACTCACCCATGACATTACCTTTTCTCTCATCGCCACTTAATCCTCCCTCTTGGACCTCGAAGACAGGAAGAACCAACACCCGACCATAGCCGCAAAAAGCGCCAGCGCAATCGGATGCAACACCCACGTCCCGCTGGCCTGCGCAATCATACCCGTCGTAAACGGCGCCAGCGCGCCTCCACTGCTCCCAAACGCCGTGATAATCGCAATCCCGCTCGTCCGGCTGCGGCTCGGCATACCCTTCAAAAACACCGTCGCCGCGCAGGGATAGATCGGGCCCAGCAGCAATCCCACGATCGCGAGACTCACAGCATTGCCCACGATGTTGGGCACAAACCACACGAGCAGCTGGAAGCAGGCTGCGCCGAGCGTCATGACGTAGACGAAGCGCTTCTCGCCGACCTTCTGGCCGAGGCCCGAGAGGAGGAAGCGGCCGACGGTGATGCCGGCCCAGAAGCCCGCCGTGACGTAGCCGACGGCCTGCGGGTTCGCGACGTCGCGCACGTCGACGAGGAAGGAGATGACCCAGCCCGAGATGGAGACCTCGGCGCCCTGGTAGGCGAAGACGAAGAGGGCGCCGAGGAAGACGAGGCGCGCGCGCAGGGCGTGGAACATGCTTGCCAACCGGGCCTTGACGCTCTGCTGCTGGGGTTCGTGCTGCTGCTGCTGCTCGCCCTCCGGGTTGTCGGTCTCGTAGCTGGCGAAGGACCAGGCGGAGAAGAGCAGGCTGAAGGCGGCGAGGGACATGGGGATGAGGTAGAAGCGGAACCAGAGGTGCCAGCCGATGGAGGAGACCATGGCGGTGGCGAGGACGGGGCCGACGGTGCCGCCGAGGCCGTAGGCGCCGTGGAGGGCGCCGAGGGCGGTGGTGCCGTTGCGCAGGGAGCCGCAGAAGAGGGTGTTGAGGGTGAGGTTTGTGGCCATGCCGAAGCCGAGGAGGAAGAAGGAGAGGACAATGACGGGGAAGGGGGCGCCGGTGACGAGGGGGATGTAGGCGGCGAGGAGGCAGGCCTGGGCGGCGATCATGAGGTGGGCGCGGGAGAGGCGGGCGCGCAGGGCGTCGACGAAGAAGGCGGCGGTGATGAAGCCGAGGGCGTTGCCGACGAAGATGAGGGAGACGACGGCGTAGCCTATGTTGTAGTATCTGGGTAGGGCGTGAAGGTGAGTCGCGGTTGCGAGGGGAGGGTGGTCACGGCGGTGAGATGAGGAGAGGGGATGGGGATGGGACGTACTTCTCCATGTAGGGGATGAGTGCACCCGGCGCGCCGTCGTTGATGCCGTTGCCCATGTTCATGAGGCACGCCGCGAGGAAGCGCCAGCGGTTCATGTACGGGGACAGCACGCTCTGCGCGGGCTCGGCGGACTCGGCGCCGGCCTCGTCGCGGGCGAAGGCTTCGTGCTCGGAGGTGCGGTTGGACTCGAGGGCTGCGGGGTGCGAGGTGGGGGTGTGCTTCGGGAGCTGGTGCATGTGGATTGACTCCGGGCGGCTCCGGTGAGAGTCGACGTGGAGGAGGGGCGCGCCGCCGGCACCGGCGACCTTGGCCGGGGGCGTTATGTGGATGTGGGACTGTTCATGGGTGATGAACGCGTCAAAGGTTGAGGTGTTCATCTTGAATAACCTGCGCGGTTGCGGTGATGAGGTCGCCGCGAGAGTATGTGAGCCTCAAGCGGGAGTTGTTAGAGTTTTGAGGTTGTGAAATTGGCCGGAGAAAAAAAGATTGAGTCGGACCCCGAGTCCGGAGATGATAAGAGTGGGGCCGTCCAATTTCTGCCGCGGCGATAGTAGATTGCCCATGCCGAATCGGGAAGGTCGACAACGGGGTTCCGGGAATTTACTGCGTAGAGAGAGCGTACAACATGCCAGTGACTCATCAAGACGATGTGGATGAAAAGGTTAACTTTAGGGGCCTAGGCTGTCTCTATGATATCTGTTGCAGATTCCAATAATTGGGCTCGCAGTCCAAGCGACGCTGTAAAGTGAGTCAATTGCGGTGCCTAAATCGAGTGCTCCAACATTCAGCCTTATCGAGGTTCATCAATACCCCGAAGTCCTAGATGAACCTCGCCAAGCCGTGGGAGTTCGGCATTAGATGAACGAGGCTCTGCTTACATCACAGACCGCCGAGCCCGTCGCGGCACCCAAGCCGCCTTGGTATCCCTCCCCAGTTCTTCAGACTTGGCAACCCAGTCACATTGCCGTCCTCTGCAAGTAAATGATCGACAACACGCATTGAAAGAAGCACAGGCATCCTTCACATCAAATGCCGCTGTGCTTCGGACTTCGCATCCTATTTCAACTCCCGCTCGCATCCCTTGCGTCCCAATATGAATTCATTGGTGGGACTCACATCTTCAATCAGGGGTAACGGAGATGCATGGATGATCGGGCAGGAACTCTGCGCCAACGAGTGCCGGCTTCTGGAGATGCTCATTACTGCAGGGAGAAGGTCAGATGTTATCCAAGACTTGTTTTAATCATGTTTGAGTATTTCCACGACTTACAAGTCTGTGGGAACAATACCCACAGCCTTGGCTGATGGTATCTCGACACTGGACTCGGCTTGATTGTCAGTCATTTCAAGCGTTCCAATAAGGATTCACCAAAATTCCGAGTCGCAGGTACTCAACTTGATATCGAATAGTATATAGATGTCTCCTTTGAACCGTTGTTGATTCATTTTCTGAAAAGCCAAGCAATAAGAGTCATTCACCTGTCGATCCGTTTCTGCAAAATGTTCAACAGCATCGTCTTCGCTGCCATCCTTGGCGCTCTGCCCACTACCTTTGCCTGCTTGGGCTATGAAGGAGGGCTTCCTACCCCGACCGAGAACAGACAGATCTCTGCGCCAATCTACGTCAAGTCAGGCGAAGTCTTCGATGGCGGATGGGCAAAGTACGACCGGAACCCCACCTCTTGCAGGGAGCAAGAGGAAGGCGGTAGGGGTTCTTTTAATTTCACATAAAGTGATTCATCCAGGCTGATGAAGACATAACAGGCGAGTCCGACACAGCTTTCGTCCTCGAGAAGGGCGCCACCTTGAGAAATGTTATCATCGGCAAGACTGCTGGTGAAGGTGTTTACTGTCTAGGAGGTGGCTGTACTATCGAGTTCGTCTGGTTCGAGAATGTGTGTGAGGACGCTATCTCGGTTGTAAGTATCAATTGAGCATGAAGTCAAGGTGATCAAAGTGATAGACGTTGACTAACAATACCACAGAAGGAGGACCAGGCCGGAGACGAGACTTGGATCATTGGCGGCGGCGCGTACCACGCATCTGACAAGATCATCCAGCACAACGGCTGCGGCAAGGTCAACGTTAGTCATCGCTTCTTTTCCAGACATCTGAGGTACATTCTAACATGACATGCTTGCAGATCATCAACTTCTACGCCGAGGACTATGGCAAGGTTTACCGATCCTGCGGAACGGTAAGAGTGAAAATCAACCTGCACATATTGAAGAAAATGTTAAGTGATTGTCTTCTAGTGCCAACAGTGTGCCCGTGAGGTTTACGTCGAGGGCGTAACTGCTTACAACGGCGGCGAGGTTGTCGGAATCACCAAGGCCAACGGCGACAAGGCGACGCTTGTCAATGTCTGCACTGATGCGAAGACGCCTTGCCAGAACTACAGTGGTCCTGGAGAGAAGGACGGTGCCTGCTAAGCCTCCATTGGGTTGGTAGACCCGGTAGTCTGGGGAAGTTGCTGCTTTGTGCAATGTTCAAAGAATGCTAGGAAACATGGGGTTCGCTCACTTTTACTAACACACGGCAGCTGTCGTGGAATAGTTGGACTGGCAGACATACTATAGTATTCTAGCACTCAACACATCACTGTCCAGCGCACCTAGAAACGATTTTCGACGTAGCGTCTTAGTAAATTTGAGTATTCATAAAAGACTATCTCACCAAGATACTAGGCATCAGGATTTTGGATATCAACCCAATCCACGTCCCCTTCAAGTACTTCATGACAAATCCCGCTTCCAATCTCGGTACCAAGCCAATTCCGAGGGTCGTTCCAATCTATGATACCCAATTGCTGATTCCATGTCATTTCAACACCCATGGCGGAGAATACCTGCTCTTCCATGGTTACATCATTATCGAGCCCTCCGATCAGCTTAGATTCCCACAAAGCTTGAAGTTCTTGGTTTGCCCATTCAGGCTGCTGGTCACACCCTAGTCGATTGTCGATGTGAAGAATTTCGGAGCCCTGAAAGGCGTGGAGGTCATGAATAGTCCCGATGATGGGGCTGCCTTCCCATGAAACCTGAATCCCATCCTCTGCATTCCCGGTTTGCTGATTCCATGCTGGCTGGCCATACATAAGAGAAGCCAGATGATTTTCCACAACGATGTTGTCATACCCAGCGCCAGTGAACATTGCGACTGAGGAATTTTCAAGTCGTCCAGGTGTTCTCTCCACAAGTGCGGCTTCATTTCCGTCGTTTATCCCTTCACGAAAGGGCTCTTCCCAACTACTTTTGACCTCATGATCGAAATGACTTATCACACGTGCTATGTCCTCTGGGCCGTCTTCATCTCCGCAGCTGGATGATGGGGTTCCAGCTGAGCTAGGTATGAGTTCCTCCAGCCCTTCCAACTCATCCTTTTCAAGGCCAACGACCCGCTCCCACGTTTCAAAGTCAAAGTTGGTCCATTCTCTGTGATTCTTCAAGACGTTAGCCACCACCATGTGTGCTTCCTCTTCTGCAAATCTGATAGCCCTGAAGTATTGTAAGCATCCGTCTCCGACAACATTGGCTCCGCAGTCAAGCAGAAGTTGAACCATGTCCAATCGTCCGCGTTCAGCGGCACCCTCCAAGGCCGTTCTACCATATACCTCGGCACCCAAGGCATTAACATTAGCCCCTAAATCAATCATACGTCTTGCGATGCCCAGACGACCTTGAATGGCCGCAAGTTGCAGTGCCGTAGCTCCTTCCTTCTTCGCCGCGGAAGCGTTGAAATCTGCACCAGATTCAAGAAGGAGGTCTATAATCCTAAGATTCCCATCCTCAACCGCGCTTTGAAGCGGGCTTCGTCCGCGATGAACCAGTTCGTTAGGCTCATTCGGGCTTAGACCAGCCTTCAAGAGGACTCTCGTCATTCCCTCCAATCTTCTCACAACTGACCAATACAAGGGGCCCGGTCGATCTAAATCACTGTCGTCGACCAACTTTCTGTGAACTAACTTCTCGAGAAGTTCAATCTCCCCATTACAGACAGCGACGGAAAGGGTGAGTCTGTCAGGCCTGAAATCGTTTTCCAACAGCTTATCCAGGCACTCTTGGGACCAGATGGAGAAAAGCAACGGCGAGCCACGGAGAAACTCACGTTCGTCCTTAGACTGTTGATGCCAAAATGGAATTTCCTCCTCGAATGACTCGGAAATATCCTTTTGCAACTCTTCTTTAGAAGGGATTGTCATAGGTGTCTCCCAAGCATGCGAGTAAGCAGGAATCAAAGCTGGGGTCGAGCTCTGTATCTTGGAAAGGAGTATGTCCAGTATGTCCACTCGGCTATGCCAAGCTGCGAGACCCAAGGCAACGCCTTCTTGTTCTGCACCATGGATAATTTCTGGGCGATTGATGATGAGTTGCTGGAGGGGTTCCGTTGAGCCAGATGAGATGGCAAGCATAACGGCAGCACAGAGAGCGCCGGGATCGTAGGCGCCAAGGCAATTCGCTAAGACCCGTTCTATCCTGGGGATGGACCTTGAAAGGAAAATAGCAGCCAATTTCGACAGATGATGTGCCTTCCATTGGGAATTGTTACCGAAGGCTCGTGATGAGACCTCATCAGTATGACTCCAGCACCCCAGCACAACTATTAGTTCAGCTTCGCTACCAGCCGTTTCTGCACCGGCGTCGACTAGCGAATTTATAACCGCCAAACAATCATTCTTGTCGAATTTCAGCCTATTCTTTACCCTAATAGTCATGGTGAATGGTTGCAAAGCTCTTTGCAAAGGCGTTTTTCCGTCTGGCCCGCGCCAATTCAGATTAGCGCCCTGCTTCACAGCAAAGTAGACAGTCCCGGGATGTTGAGGTATAATAGCGCCGTAGTATGCAGCCCAAATGGGCACCTTCGCTCCATATTTGATCAAAATTTCAAATAATTGAGGTGCTCGTTCATCGGCTCCAACAATTGCTGCGCCTAAGGCATTGATACGGAGGGAATGCATGCCGAGAATTTTCTGCGAATAATATCCCCCGAGCCTGCGTTCGACCTCGAGACTTGTAATGACGCGGTTCCACATGTAATTTCTTGCGTGATCAAAACCCCCACTGGGTTTGAACTCTACATTCACGTCAGCTCCATAATCACAAAGAAGCTCGACGACGTTGGAATGACCCATCAATGCTGCGAAGTGGAGTGGCGAGGGAATCGCCTCAAGCCCCTTTGGACCTCCGATGGGCGCACCATATTGAAGAAGTAACTCGCAGGCTTCCCGACGGCCGCTAAGTGATGCGGCACAGAGAGCCGAAAACAGGACATGTGGCCGGGTGTTCGTAGTGTTCCGACAACCGCAGCAGTATTCAACGATGCGCTTGAAGCCAAAGTAGGCAGCTCGGCAAACAACGTCGGCAGGTAGGAGATCGGCGACAGGGATTGATGAATGTGATCGCCGAACTTGACCAATTAAATGTTGAACCTTTCTCATGGCTTGTTCTTCGTCGCTTCTGTACATTGCGAATCCCATCACGCTTTGTATTCTGACGAATTGCCACCCGCCCATGTTGGTGTAATAAGCATGTCTCTGATGCTCAATCTTTGCGCCATGTTGAATAAGTATGTCAGCTATTTCAAGGTCCAAGCGGACGGCCCACATGAGCGCAGAAGGCCCGTCGTCAGAGGGACCCTCGTGCAGTGACGTGCCGGCCTCTAAAAGCCGCAGAACTAGGTTTTTGAAGGCATCGCGCTGCTTTGGTGTCATCTTCAAGTACACACCCTGATCATCTCGCAACAAGCCGAGGAGAGGTGTTTTCTGGTCAAAAGATTTGTTCGGATCAGCCCCGGCATCGAGGAGCTCCATAGCGAGTTCGTAATCATACCGGCTTGTCGCACATCTAAGTGGCGAGGAGGTTTCACCATTGACATTTACCTCCACATCTGGATTTTGACCGGATTCGAGAAGCCATGAGATTGTTTTTGAATTACTCATATGGAGCTCAGACCGAGAAGATTCTACACTCCTGAACTCGATGCAACGTTTGAACAGATTTTCTGCGATGGATGTGATGGTGAAGTCCGTTTGTTGCGCGAGCTTAAGTGGCTGTTTCGTCAGGCCAGAGCGTTCGATGAGGGTTACAACCGTCAGCCAAGAAGAATCGTCTTCATAGTCGATTTCGTACATGTTGTTCGAGAGACAATATAAAATAAGCTGAATGTGCTCATTGAAGGCTTGGTCGGTTGCTCCTTTCGCGATGATCTGTGCACTGTTGGCGATTGCGTTGTCCGCTTTCTCAGGCATCATGGATGCGACGTTAATGGCAAAATCAAAGGCATTTCTGAAAGGGTCCCCGTTGAATTGCCGGTGCAAAGGCGAGAAGTCCAGTCGTGTTTGGCTTTCACGGTGTTGAGGATCATTATCGATGACGCGGTGTGTCAAATCCAGAATGCCTTACAATGGTTAGCTGAATTGCTTTCAATATTTGGACTTTACTCACTCGGTAACACTTCGTTCTGGAACTGTATCCATGGAAGTGTGTGAGCCCACGCCAATTGCATAGGTGCGGGAGTTGGCGTGCGGATCCAAAGTTCCATACCCTCGGGAGTCTTTGGACTCACAGCTGTGCAGGGCGGGTCAACGGTGTTTGCAACGTAATCGACCTGAGGTCAATTGTACATACCTGTCATGTACTTGGTCAACGTATCTGGTTGATAGCGACTCCGCTCCTTCTTGAGTGTGTCGCGCAAGACCTTCCTGCCATTGTGATACACCACGCTGGTTTTGCCTTGTTGCTCTCTCTTCAGAAGCCTGTGATCAGTGTATCGCCAGACATCCGCACTCGCGTTTTTCCGAATATTCCAGAAGTGCAGTTGGGCCTCAAGTTCCGATTTTCTGAAGAGTATTAGCATTCATCAAAAATTGAGACGCACCGGGTAGTAAACTCACGTTACGAAAAATCTATCTTCTTTAAGCTTGTCTCTGATCTTCTTCTGAGATAGGCGGTCGACCACATACATCATCTCGATTGCAGTCTTACGCCGTGTCCATTCTGGATCGTCGCAGCGTAATCTCTTGGAGGGAGGCATCTTTCAGAGTTCTGAAAACTGACAAATGAGCACCTGTGTGCAGGCTCTCGTTCGTCAGAATAGACAATCGAAGAGAGTTGTCGGCAACTTGAAAAGGGAATCGCTTGAACCGAAGTCATTCAGATTGCGGACATTGAATGAGAGGGTAAACAGCAACGCTCGCTTCCAGGCAGCCATGAATGTGGGAAGTTGAGGAAAAGGGCTATGCCTTCAGATCCCCGAAAAGATCCCAATTGGTCGAATCCAATTTCTGGAAACCTGATCCACGTGATGTCGCTGACGCCTTCGTACCCGATGCTTTCGGCGCCAGCTCAGGTTGTACAAACAAGGCATTCTGCAGGCTCTCGGCTCACCGATTGGTTGAGTCCAACCTCTGCGAAAGCTCCCAGCGTCATCCGCCTCCAAGAATGAGGCGAGCCGCTGAAATGCAACGTTATTGGCCCGAACCAACCTCTGGAAACAACATTGCATAGGTGTGTGGAGCCAGCAGAGGCGCATCACCTTTCTTGGTTCCGGTCAAAGTAACGAGTTAAACACAGGTTCTGATTTGTGCGTGCCAATGTCTGCCAACGACTTTACAAGGGCATACGCTTTTGAGTGGGCAGCGATCTCAGCTAGTCGAGGTACAGTACCTGTTGAGGATCACGGTTGGAAATCTGAATCAACCGCAAGTTATGATTTGTCAGAGCCAATCTCTGCAAACTTGAGGTTTTCTTACGCAACAGGGGGGTCAAGGCTATGCGAAAAAGGCACAAATTTCCTTCATCAAGTCTCTGATCATTGATTACACCCCAAAACGGAGGATATAACCTGCTGAAAATCACCAGTCACTTCAACTTTTTTTGCTTCGTAATATAATTCTAATCAATTTTTCATCGGACACCTTAGATCGTTTGGTCAACAATAGATGCCTTCCTGACATCGAAAACCTTCAACGACGTCGAGGACTCGAGAACACTGCATGCGATTCTCACGAAACGCCCCATTGATAAGGATGGAGTTCAACCTGGAAGCCATCATTGCCTTAGTTGCACTAGTTGTGACGCTCCCACCGACAATCATGATCTTGTGGAAGTGTTTTCGTCGCAGGCACAATGCTCGACACACAGGTCAGTTCAGGCCATCGAACTTATTTTGTCAGAACTTTGAAGTTGACGCACACCATTAACAGCAAACCGACATGACAATACCTTGGCATCGTTGCAGCCATCGACACACGACAGACCCGAGTACAACTCGTTTCCGAGGAGGCATTCGACGCTGAGAGTCTGGACTATTGTCGACTTTGACACAAACTTTAATTATAGACCATACGAGGCTATTCCTGTGTGACCACTTTCAAGAAAGAAGCTCGAGACTATGAGGAATATTTAAGGTGCTCTGATTAGAGATAATTGCACATTGTGGAGGATGTCATTTTGAGCCGCCGTGCATGCCGTCAGCAATGACCACAAGGCTACGGCTGTGCTTTATCACTGGCTAGAAAAATGATTGTTTTCCTTTGATTAAACTTTGGTAGAGGTCTAGAGACTAGAGATGCCAACATCATTTCCATTAACTGGCGGAAATGCCGTGCAGACACAAGAGGCGTGAGTCTCACTAGTGAGCGACCAGCCCTTTTCCGAAATTGACTGCCACTGGACTAAACTTAATCGCAAGAAGTTCCCGTTGCATCTTCCATATTTATTTCCGGCCAAAGACTCAAAGTTCGCTGAGCACTAGGTAGGTAAATTTCCATTGTCTACGCCCCCAAGTACCAGACTTGAGAGTTGTGAGGTCAACGTCACCAGGTGCTGTGTGTCTGTGGCAACTTACTGTCCCTCACTGGAACTAGAAAAAGAAAACGAAGCAAAAAGTGAATTCCATTCGTTGCAAAGATCGGAGTTCGCCGCTTTTTAGCGTGCGAGACAGGCTAGAAAGGCCGGAAGACAGTGCGCCTGCTGCTATTCCGACAGCGCAATGACAAAATAATTTAGGAGATCATGCCTCTCAAACTACATCGACTCATTCATTTATTGAACTTGGGAGCACGTGGGTTCCATGTTGACTTCAAAGGTCCACTCTTTTCCGGGTCAATACCACCCATCTGCTTCTGCCTGCCAAGTGTTCTAGACCTTCAATCGAGAAAGAAAGACAGAAACGTAGAGATGAAATTGAGAAACAAATGATTTAGACAGTTAGCTTTGCTAATGTAAGTGCCTGAACCAACCGAGCTGAAGGAGACTCCAGTCCCATTGAAGACCTGAAACTCAGCCACAATACGGCGAAAGCGCAGTCAGCGGACTGTTAGCTTCCATTTTCCACAAGTGCGCAATGAGAGGCGAAAACGAGCTATCGGGAGGTCGGCACAGGGAAACATGGCTGCTCGGTTTCGTTACCGGACTTAGTACCAAACACGCCCTACGAGGCTGAGTTATGAATATACCATCAGCTGAACAGCATTGAGAGGAAGGAATTCCTAACTATAAAAAGGTCAAAATGAACGGCATCGCTTCAAGTTAAGTACGCCGAGCTGTAGTGAATAGACCATAGCTTAAACCTACCCGCGGGTGGCGAGTCGCGTGGTCTTTTTGTTTGGGGGCTGTTGACGCGGAGCCGGAGGCCGATGATAATTCCCGTCCGCTGAGGGAGCAACATTGCTTCCGCTGCGGTTGTGGCAGCCGTACAGAGCAATTACAAACCAACCGCTTTGAAGACAAGCCCTCGCGGGATGTCGCATTTCCCGATAGACCATGGACCTCTGCCGTGTTTACTTACACCGCTTGCCCTAATCGAGAAGACGCGATTCAGCTCTACGGCAAAGCCATGTTTCTGCCAAAAGGCACAATGCTTTTTTGTGGGTCGCGTGGTTGCAATAACGGGAATCAGAGTCATAGTTGCTCCAATATTACTACCAAAATTAGGACATCAAATATATGCTAAACCACTTGACACAATCTCGCTGATTACCGCTTTTAAGGTTTACAGCGCAGCCGTTCTTGGTAGACTGAGCAGAGCCCTAAATGCCACAGCAGATCCAGTGACAAGCTCCTTCTTCGCTACACCGCAATCAATAACGATCATCGCACTGCCCGATAGCATGCCGTGTATAGGGAAATAAACCTCTTTAACCTTATGCACCTGACTTATTTACGTGCATCGAGCCGAAGCTCCCGATAATATGAGAATAATTAGAATTGCACACAAACCAAGACATGATTAATACTGAGTGAGCAGCTCGCTCTCTGGAGCACTGATTCCCAACCGCCCATCCTTTCTCGGCAGATACATTCTTTTATTCCTTTCTTTAGTGGTTCGTCACGATGCGTAACCACGCTACATTCATTTTACTGTCGCTCCTTGCTTCCGGCGAAGGAATTTTCGCCCGGCCCCACGATCATTCGCCTGTGCATCGACACCATGTTCGGAATGGCTTGATTTTCCCCAGGGCAGATGGCAATGGCACATCTACGAACAACACACAGGTGCCTGTGCCTGTGCCGCCACCGGCAACATCGCGCAAAGCCAGCTCGTCGCTAAATTCGGCAAGCCACACCCCATCGGCGTCCGGAAGCCACACTTCATCGGCCCCACTCTCGAGCCGGCCCCCGGCGTCGCAGACGGCATCCTCTGCGCCTGCTGCAAGCACCACACCCGCCGCGGAGAAGACCGTGTCAAATGGAGAAGTCGCAACCGGCTTGGCGATCGGCACGGTTGTCGCCGCCGGAGTCGGAGGAGGTTATTTGTTGCTCGCCGGCCAATACTTCAGCATGGCCGCCGGAAGTGTTGCGACGGTCACCGGCGCATCCGGTATCGCCTCCGGACTGAGTTCACTTTCGGGCCCGGAACCGCAGCAGGTCGACAAGCCCGAGGACCCGCCCGAGGACAACGGCGACCAGAACCAGCCCACTCCGTCTGTTCAAAGAACCGACCAGCCGTTCAGCACCTCGCTGCCGCTGGACTTGCCCACCGGCACATCGTCATTCCCGTTCTCCTCTACTTTTACCACGTCGCAAGCGTCAGCGACCTCCAGCGGAACACCCAAGTATATCATCGTACCCGACAGCAAAGGGAAGGCAACCGATTTCGACTCGGTAGAGTCTAGCTTGACTAATTCGGCCGGCTCGAACCTGGTAACTGTCGAGGACGACGAAGACAAGAGTACTCTGTTCCTGACCGCTCCGCTGTCACCCCAAGAAGCGAAGGATTTGGAAACGAAGCCAGGGGTATTTGATGTTCTGCCCGATTGCCCCGCCAACATGCTAACGCGAGAGAACAGGTCGGAGCCGTTACCGAAGATATCGACCTAGGGGATATGAACAAGCTCGTGGCAGAAGAGCCCTACAACCCAGCCGACGCCGCGGGCCCATCTGTGCCACCTCCGGCTTTGACGAAAGACCCCTTGGCTCTGGCCAAGCAGCCGCAGAAGATTGTGAGGCAGTCGGGATACGATGTCGAGACGGAGAATCCAGCGAAACCCTCGCACGAAGACGCAGGAGAACTTGCCACTATTTCCCAGGAACCTGGCACGGGAAGAGCATCTACTTTTGCATATGACGAGGTGGCTGGGCAAGGCGTCACAGTCTACATCCTTGGCACGGGCATGAACCTGAATTCGCCGGTAAGCTCTCAACCCTATTTGTGTTATCTTCATCGGCGCTAACTGGCGGGCCCACCTCAGGATATCCAAGACGCTGTTGGCACCAAGGACTTCATCTTCGCCCCCGGCTCAGCTGAAACGAAGACAGACGACGATCCCCTCATTGGATACCCCGATGGCACTTGCATGGCTTCCAAGATCTTTGGTCCCAAGTACGGCGTGGCGAAGAAGGCAAATGTCGTCATGGTCAAGTTGTCCGGAGGGAGCGGTGCGATGGGTATGATCACCATGACGGAGATGCTCACTGCGCTGGCCATGGTCAAGAACGACATCACCACGAAAAAGCTCAAGGGCAAGGCCGTGGTGAACCTCTCGTATACCAGTAAGTGAGCCCGAGTCATGCCGTGACGCTTCATGCTTT